GCTGCTGCTCAGCTGGATGAATTAAATGTATTGGGTTTAGTTGGGTTCTGAGGCAGAGGGGCGAGGTGGCAACACTAAATTACAAAAAGCAAAGTGATCCAGGTTATCATAATAGGCATCATAGACAAATCTATGTTCAAAATGGCATGACCCATAAAGGTCAGCATACACAAAGTGATTTTGTGATGACATGATGTGTATGGACCTTTGGAACTCCCTAATCCAGTGGTTCTCAACCTTCCTAATACTATGACCCCTTAATACAGTTTCTCATGCTGTGGTGATCCTCAGCCATAAAATTATTTTATAACTAAAATTTTCTTACTATTATGAATAATAATGCAAATATGTGATATGCATATAGTCTTAGGTGACCCCTGTGAAAAGATCATTCAACCCCCAAGAGGTTGTGACCCACAGGTTTGAGAACCACCAGGTTAATCAATCATGATGTTTCTAGGCATGATATAAAGTGGTAGCATGATTAGTAGAAACCCAGAGACAGAAATTGGGGTTCAATTTGAAGGTCATAAAAGGAGAACAGCCAGCCACTGGTTCTTACCTCTACCTCAGTCTGAAATGGTGATCCTGCCTCCAGGAATCTCAGAATGAGACAGTGTGTGATATCTGTGTCCTCTGTCTTATATTCCTCTCTAGTGCTGGAATTGAAGGCAGGCACCAATATCACCAGGTCTCTATGGCAAACTGGTGTGACTACTGGGATTGAAGGGGTGTGTCACAACTGCCTGGTCTGTAAGGCTGATCAGTGCAGTTGTTTTACTCTCTGAATTTCAGGCAAGCTTTATTTATTAAAATACAAATAAAATAACACTATGAGAAGTCTACTAAACTTTTGTTTCATCTGCATAAGTGGAAAAATTCTCAAACAAATGAAAGAAAGGCTACACTGGATCACGGCAAAGGGGATCTCAGCCTGTGAATCAACTTCCAGACATGAGCCAGTTTGTCAATCCAGAAACTCTTGAGTAAAAAATACCCAGGTTTCCCTGAGGAAGACCTTGCTAAAATACCTAAACGTTTTACTCTCAGCTTTTCTCCAGTCCTGCCCCAGAGGGACGCATGGTCTTTTACAAGGGGAACTGAGAATTAGGGGAAAGGAAACAAGAGGCTTTCTGAGATCTGTTGGATATTGGCTCTGAATTGGCACTGATTCTGGAAGACCCCAAGAAACATTGTGGCCCTCAGTTAAAGTAGGGGCGTATGGAGATCAGATGATTAATAGAAGGTGGGCTGAAGTCCACTGTGAAGGCACAGTGGGTTTCCAAAATCACCCTGTGGTTATGTCCCCAGTCCCACAATGTATAATTTAGAGAGATAGTCGTAGAAGTTGGCAGGATTCTCACATTTGTTTCCTGATATATGACATGATGGCTGTTACAGTTTGACTGGAACCTGGGACAGAAGAAGGTTCTTCAACAGGTCTAGACTGATCTGCAGGCTGTTCTACATTTGGACCATATGATCCAGCAGGCCCAATGTAAACGGAGTGTCTATGTCAGACAGGGATGCTGTTTGCAAGCCCCTATAGGTGGATCACTGAAGAGACCTTTGGGATTTTGGAGCAAGGCTCTATCTTCATCTGAAGACAATTATTCTCCCTTTGAAAGACAGATCTTGGTCTGATATTGAGCCTTGGAAGAAAATGAACGTCTGACCATGCATCATCAAGTTACCATGTAACCTGAGCTGCCTATCATGAGCTGGGTGTTATCTGACCCATAAAGTCATAAAGTAGGATGTGTACAGCAGAAATCTATTATCAAATGAAAGTGGTATAGATGTGATTGGGCCAGACAGACCCTGCAGGCATGAGCAAGTTACGTGAAGAAGTTGCCAAAATGCCTGGGTTGCCTACTCCCTGGATTACCCAGCATGCACCTGTAGCTGCATGGTATGTATCCTATGATCAGCTGACTGAGGAAGAGAAGACTAAGGACCTGGTTTATGGATGGTTCTGCATGTTATGTAGACATCACCCAGAATTGGAAAACTGTAGCATTACAGTCTCTTTCTGGGACAACCCTAAAAGATATTGGCAAAGGGAAATCTTCACATCTTCACAGTGGGCTGAACCTGAACCTCAGGCAGTACACATGACATACAGGTTTGTTTTTGTTTTTTGTTTTTTTTTGAAGGAGAAATGGCCAGATATGAAATTGTTCACTGATTCACAGATTGGATGGTCAGAACTTAGAGATTATAAAGTTGGTGAGAAAGACATCTGGGGGAAGAAGTATATGGATAGATCTCAGCAAATGGGCAAAGGATGCGAAGATACCTGTGTCCCATGTAAATGTTCACCAAAAGGTGACCAGCAGAGGAAGAGCTCAGTACTCAAGCAGATAGGATGACCCATTCTGTGAACAGTCAGCCTCTCTCCCCAACCATCCCTGTCATTGCCCAATGGACCCACAAAGTGGCCATGGTAATGCAGATGGGGGCTCTACATGTGCCCCACAACATAGAGTTCCACTCACCCAGGCTGCTCTGAGTACAACTGCTGCTGAGTGCTAGATCTACCAACAGCAGAGACCAACACTGAGCCCCAGATATGGCACCATTCCCCTGGGTGGCCAGCCAGCGATCTGGTGGCAGGTTGACTACATTGGACCATTTCCTCTGTGGACAGGACAATGCTTTGTCCTTACTGGAGTAGATACTTACTCTAGTTATGGATTTGCCTTTCCTGCAAGTAATGCTTCTCTGCCAAAACTACCAACCACTGATTTATAGAGCTTTACAGAGTATTGTTTCTGATCAAGGAACTCACATTGTAGCCAGAGAAGTATGACAAAGGGTCCATGATCATGAAGTGCACTGGTCTTACTATCTTACTTCTCCACTATTCTGAAACATCTTGCCTGATAGAAAGATAAAATAGCCCTTTGAAGGCATAGTTAAAGAGTCAGTTAGGTGGCAGCAGTATGGAGGGCTGGAGCAATGCTTTCTAAAAGGCGGTATATGTCTTGAATCAGCATCCAATATACGTATGGTATGGTTTCTCCCATAGCCAGGATCCATGGGTCCAGGAATCATGGGAAGGAAAAGTGCACAGTTCTGTTCACTATTACCCCTAGTGACCCACTGGTAAAACTGCTTTCTGTTCCTGAGACTTTAAGTTCTGCTGGCCTAAAAGTTTTGGTTTCAGAGCAGGGAGCACTCAAGCCAGAAGACAGAACAAACATTCATTGAACTGGAAGCTCAAATTTCCCCATGGTCACGCTGGGCTTCTGATGCCCTTAAGCTAACAGGCGAAGAAAGGAATAACAGTGCTAGCAAAGGTGATTGATCTAGATTACCATGGGGAAATGGGACTGCTTCTCTACAAGGGAGGTAAGAAAGATTATGTCTGGAGTGCAGGAGATCCTTCAGGGTGTCTCTGGGTGCTACCATGTCCTGTGATTAAAGTTAATGGGGAACTATAGCAGCCTAATCCGGGGAGGATGCCAAATGGCACAGCCCCATGAGGAATGAGAGTATGGGTCGCTCCTCCAGGAAAAGAGCCAAGACGTTCTGAAGTGCTTGCTGAGGGTAAAAGAAAGTACAGAATGGGTAGTAGAGGAAGGTAGTTATAAACACCAGCTAAGGCGACGTGACCAGCTGCAGAAATGAGGACAATAGTTGGCATACCTGTCTCTGCCGTAGTTTGTTAGCATGTGTTTTTACAGATATTCATGTTTTTTCCTCATTATATTTATCAAGTAATATAACATCAATTAAGAGAATGTCAGTGATTATCATATTTGAGTTTCAGTGTTAAAAGAATGTCCCTCAAGGGACATTACCACCTACTCTAAAATTTATAATGTGCTTACAGTTGTACAAGTGATAGTTACATTAGGTGAAATTACAATCTAGTTATAATTTTCATTTGTAGATGAAGGTATGCCATAAGGAAATATGGTTGTGTATCAAGTTGACAAGGCATGGATTAGTGATGGCTACTCTTGGTTAACAACTTGACTACATCTGGAATTAATTAAAACCCAATTGGCTGGATATGCCTGTGAGGATTTTATTTCTTAATTAAATCATTTTAAGTGGGAAGGCCCACTTTTAATCCAGATCTTTTGATGTGGAAAGATACATCTTTAATCTGGGCTACCCTTGTGCTGTCAGCCTGTATAAAGAACACACGTGGATGAAGAAGGTGAGCTCTCTGCCTGCTTGCTCTTGATGGCAGGCGTATACTGAAGATCCCCTGAGAAATCCAACCTCATGAACTGAACAACTACTGTATTCTTAGACCTTCCATTGGTAGACATTGTTGGACTAATTGGATAACAGCCTGTAAGTCATTCTAATAAATCCCCTTTACACACATTCTCTCTCTCTCTCTCTCTCTCTCTCTCTCTCTCTCTCTCTCTCTCTTTCTATCAGTTCTGTCTCTCTAAAGACTCCTGAGTAATACAGCTCTATTCCGCCATGTCAATGGGTGGACAAGAACACTGGCTGTGTTTTTAGAAAAGATTTGTGCTCTTATCTCTTTCCTTTGTCCCTCACACTTTTGTTCGGTGTATCAAGAATGAAATTTAGAATGTCTGCATTCCAGACACAGACTTTCCTCTGAGCCTCATCCCCAGCCACCTTCATCAATATTGCACTGTCAAGCTGTTAGCAGTATTCGACCCTCCCAAAATAACATAATGGAAATCTAGCTTTACTTTCTTAAATTCTCGACCTTTTTAGGTCTTTCTACTTGGCTAAAATATCCCATGGAGTTGGACCAACTTCTTTACCAGCTTATAGAACCCCCTGGGCTTTTCACATTTCTACACTTTGTGGGCTGCTTCCTTTTAACAGGCAGCCCATGATGTTCATCAGATTAACACAAACACTCCTCTGCTGGAGGCCATCTAGCCTGCAGGACCTCTCCAAAAAACAGGCAGTCTCACAGATAAGCACTAAGGCATGCAGGGTCTGTTGCTGTCATGTTTAAGCACTGATGCCTGCAGAGAAGAAGGAGCCATTGTCCTTACCCTGTTTTCAAGCTGACCAAGGCGTCCTCTACTCCCCTCTGGTTGAATTTGGTCATGTACTGGTGCATATAGGGGTAGTTGTTACGGATATTCCTCTCTGTACTCCCATTGGGTACTGTCCCAAATCGGAAAGGCGGGGAATAGTCATGAGGTCTCTGAAACTGGAGGGGGTGTTAGGGGAGGGAAGAATGAAAAGAAGAGAGAGAAGAAACCAGTGAGCATTCGTACAGTGACAGAGGTTCAAGATGCAGCAATACAGAACAGTGAGAAGACCCCTTTCAGCTTTAATTTCATCTCTTGTGGGTCTGTGATCACCAGGAAGGTGGAGATAGCATCTGGCTTGTGTTTTCATTTCAGCTTCCTATACTGTTCCCCAGCACCAAGCACACGCTGCGATCTGTGGTTCAATGAATATTTTCTGAGGCTAGTTTATGTTAGGCATACAGTTGGCACCAAGATATGCTCAAGGAGTTCAGGGCCTACTTCTTCCAAATTCACTTACCTGTTTTATGATGAGTTTTTCCTTTTTTGTGGTTACTACCAGCCACATCTTGCTCTGATCTCCGGAAAACGGCTGTGTACTGTCACTCATCCATCCTCCATGCTCTCAGCCATTCACACAGGTGGTATCTGTGGGATCCTAACCACTGTCATCCACAATGCCTGGCTCATGGCAGACCCAGGGAAAGTTTGTGAGCCAAAGCTCCCACTGTTGTTTCCTCGGATTCTCAGATTTGCATGGAAGTTTTCTATGTTCCATGATTGGTTCTTGACTGACTGGCTGGTACTACCTGCCTATAGCTCTCTCTCTCATGTGTGTGTGTGTGTGTGTGTGTGTGTGTGTGTGTGTGTGTGTGTAAGCGTGGGTGTATGTGCGTGTGTATAAGCGTTGTGTTCGTGTGTGTGCTGCTGCTCATATGTATGCCTGTACGTGATGGGTAGAGATCAATCTTAGCTATCATTCCTCAAGACAAATCCACCTTGTTTTGAGACAGGGTCTTTCACTGAACCTGGAACTCTCCAAACACTCTAGTCTGGATGGAGTTCTGGGAGAAGAAACTCGAGTTTCATGCCTGCAAGGCACCTGGCTGACTGAGCAATCACTCCAGCCCCATGTTTACATATTTAAAATATTTTATTAATATAAGATTAATTATACACAATTACCAGTTTGGTTAGAACTTTTTATGTACATATATAATGTACTTAGGTCATGTTTCAGGATATTCAACCCAATTAGAAATCAACTGGTGTAGCCTGAATCCTAGAAACACAGCTGCTCCCAGAGGCAGCAGAGGCAGGGGTCCTGCAGTGGGACCACCTCAGCACTGCCCTGCAGAGTCTCTGAAGACTGAACAACATAACACTTGCCAAACTGCTGCAAAGAAGAAAGTATTGGAAACAATGCTTTAGTACTTTTTGTTCGTTATGGGCAAAAATGAGAGGTCAATTCGCATTTTCTGCAGACTGAGACTTAATAAAAGTAGAAGGCAATAGTCATAAGGACCTGTGTTTTGTCAGTTTAGTTACTTTCTAATAACTGGCATCTTTCAGGACTCACATGGGTAACAGTGTGTGCCAACCTTCTAAAAATATTGATCATGCAACCTCATGCCAGGTCAGATATGAGGCTAACCGTACAGCTCCATTCTGTGTATGAGGAAACTGAGATTTGGGTTATATGACCTGTGCAAAAACTGGTCGTGGTGGTGCACTCAGTCTGAGGCAGGAAGGTCACAAGTTCAAGGTCAACCTGGGCCACACATGGAGACATTGTCTCGAAAATGGACTATATAAGGAGGACATGGGGATCCTGAAATGGTAAGAATACCCAGCAAACCTGTGTCAATGCTAGGATCACAGTCCAGGGATCTCTCCAGCTGGCAGATCATGTGCTTTCTGAGAAACTAAGAACTGCCAGAGACAGTGGCCAAGCTTACTCAAGAGCTAGATCAGCCAGAGGCACTAGTGTTGCTTCTAAAACTCACACTTCTTTTCCACTGTTAGTTAGAAATTCAGTTGAAAATCATTTTTGTCAAAATGACTCGTGCTGCTGCAGAATTGGCAGCTATAACTGGACCTGGGAGAAGGGGCCATCCATTGTCTAAACTAAAGCCTCCTGCCTGGCTGAACCTTGCACTGAGAGAGGGGAAGGGAAGGAGAGAGAATATATGTATACATGTGTGCATGTATGGCATGCATATGCATATTACATGTGTGTATGTGTGTGCATGTATATGCAAGGAGATAAACGTATGTATATATGTGTGCAGGAATGTATTCATTCGCATACATGCATGTATGAGCATGCATGTATGCATATATTGTATGTGTATGTGTGCACATATGTACATATGTCTATATAGGTATGCATTCACATGTGTACTGCATGAACACATGTGTGTGCATGCGGCATAAAGCTCTGTGCACTCACTCTGCCATACAGCAACCTTGCTCATCACCAGAAGAGAAAGTGCAAGCCCAGACTGCCTTGCACAGCAGCTGCAGGCTGTGGGGTAACAGTACTCATGGTGCCACTCATAAATCTAGTGGCTGAAGCAGCCATTACCAATCTCCAGAGACACAGGAGAAGGTCTGTTTGAGTAAAAGCCTTCCACTTCTCTCTTCGACTGATGCAGAGATGCAGCACTAAGATGCATTTTCCCCTTTGCCTCTGTTTTGCACAAAGACAGACAAATCCTAAGTCCCACATCTTCAGACAGCAATAACAGCCCCCACCAACACCCAGGCCTTCCTCACTAGATCAAAGACTGTCAATTTGTTAAACAGTGATTCACTATACACTTTTCATTGCTACCTGTACATGCACACGCCTGCGCACATGCACGCGCACACACACATACACACACACACACACCTTAGAGGTGGTCATTCTTTCTACATGTAACACACTCTGATGCCACAATGCAATTTTTCCTGGAAAGTATGTTCATGTATTTCAAAGTTGAAATAAAATGTACACAACATAGAACATATCATTTAAAACATTTAAATGTCCCTTTCACTGGCAGTAAACACACTCACTTTGTGCACCCATCACTAGTACCCATCCATAGGTTCACTGTTTAAAGTTTAAAGGTCATTGTTTAAAGATCCCAAACCTTCACATAAATTCTATGGTTTACTGGAGAGTTAGGACCCTCCATCTGAAAAGGGTCATGGTGGCTCATCTTTCTCAACTGCACTGTGGACAACCCAGTGTTTCCTACTGGAATGATTTCTGGTGAGAGACTTCCTCCCAGCCAACAAACAGAAAGGAGCAGGTGCAGCTTCAGTGAAGGCAGGGGTGGCACAGAGCCTCCTATGTCCGTGGGAGCACAGAGGAGCAGTGGGTCCAGATCAGGGAAGCCCCTCCCAGCTCCTGATGCTCCTCATCTCCCACTTCAGAACTGGGTTGTTTGGAGCAGTCCAGGAAGCCCACCGAAACGGTTTCTCTTATCTATACATTATGCATAGCTTTGGGGATTAGCTATATCATGCTTGAAATGGCATGTAATTCAATTGCTTCATGCAGATCATATTACATGTTCCACAGTGATCACATGTGTGCTGTTCTTGGTAACTGTCATCACTCAACATAACTTCAACCAGTCTCCTAGCACAGAGAACATGGAATCTTTTCCTAATTTTCTTTCATCTCTATTCAGTGAGGGGACATGTCTGAAGGTCATCTAAGTGAATAACCTATGCCATGCATTTATGATGGAGGAGATAGACACAGAGCTAAGAAATACAATTTTCAAAATAAACTTCAGCAATTAACCAGGACATTTCTTCACTTTGTATCCTTACGAAGCCGAAGCTATAAACTTGAGGAAGGTGTTCCTCACATGTCTATAAACTAGAAATACCTAGTAACTGGGATCTCTAGTCCTAGCATGGTCCTCAGAGGGTGAGTCATGTGTGTTCAGGTGTACCAGTATGTGAGTGTAGTACATATTGAGGTCAGAGAGCAATGTCCAGTGTGGTTCCTCGGGTTCCATCCAACTTTTCTGAGACAGAATTTCTACTAGCCAGGAAATCTTCAGGCAGGTCAATGAGACCCAAGGGCCAACAAGAGATGGATGCCCCAACAGTACAGAAGAGCTTTGGGTGACTGTCCAGGTAGTGAGATGTCTCTGTCAATTCTAGAGTTTTGGAAGTGGCTTCCAATGCACTTCCTGTTTACTTAGGTAATATTATATCCTTCTGAGGTATTTGGTGGAGTTGAAGAATAGATAGCTATAATTATAGTTTTCCTTAGCTATGATAAATGATAAAAAGTAGATATAAATATTATAACTGTAATTCTTGCTTGATAACTATTTTGTTATATGTAATTTTACTATGTAAAAGTTAAAACCTTCCTTTTTATTTAAACAGAAAAGGGGAAATGGTGTGGGAAGTCCGTTTGTATATGTGTTGCTTTTATTGGTTAATGAATAAATCTGTTTTGGCCAGTAGCTTACAGAAATAAAGCTAGGCAGGAAAACTAAACTGAATTCTGGGAGAAAGAAGGCAGAGTTAAAGACAAGCCATGTAGCCTGGCTAGAGAGACTCCAGATGGACATTTCCCCAGAAAGCCACAGCCACGTGGCAATACACAGACTAATGGAGATGGGTTAGTTTAAGATATAAGAGCAAGCTAGAAATATGCTTAAGCTATTGGCCAAACAGTATTGCAAATAATATAGTTTCTGTGTGATTATTTCAGGGTTGAGCAGCTGGGAACAAACAAGTGGCCTCCTACATGTCCCGTCCCCAGCACTGAGATAGTAAGCATGTGCCACCACACCTAGTCTTTGTGACACAGGTTCTGAGGATTAAATTCAGGTCCTAGTGTACTTCAAGGCAAGCCCTTTAGTGGCTGAGCTACTTCTGTAGCACATACCTTATGTTTCTGGATGGGGGATCAAACAAACTTGGCTCTCAGCAAAGGAAAGATTGGTTGAGAGACCTCCCTGCCTAGTGTGACATACCTCCCCCCACCCCACCCTCCACTCCCCATCCCTGCATCATGACTCTGAGAAGGAACACTCAGCTCCTGTGACATGCCTCCTCCCACCCCCCCCACACACTGCACCATGACTCTGAGAAGGAACACACAGCGCTCCTCTGCCTGGGAAGCCTCTGAACCCTGCATGGGTAGTTGCAGGAGCCCAACTCAGTGCAATAACTTCTCAGGCTCCGGAAGTGGAAAAGTTTGAAGAAGGCAGTAATAATGGCAAAGGAAAGAAGCAGGAGCAGGAAGAACAGGAAGGAGGAGGCAGTGCAAAGAGGAAGTGGGAAGGAGGAAATATCACATAAGTAGTACCCTACACATGGTAAGGAGATTATCCCTAATCCTCACATCTACTTGCCAGAACAGAATCAGCATATTTTTGTTCAGAAATTAAGGCCTGAGGATACTGAGATATGAGTAGCCTTGACCATCAGAGGCCATGGCCGGGTTTGACCCCAAGCGAGGCCCTCTTCCTCTCAGAGATGGACTTTCTCTGTCAATGTGAGTGCCAACATTTTGAAAAGGGCACTCACTAAGATTCCAGCTTTCCTTTATAGTCTCTTTCCCAGATCCGCCTGCTTGTTCTGTGAGCCCAAGTCCATCTGCACACACAATGAGCCTCAAACATGTTTCTTTCACACCAAGTGCCAGTTTAAAAGACTCTCACACCTGAGCAGTCACACGGGTATTCATGATTAAAACACAGCAAAGCAAACTCAACCCCTGTGGACAGTGTTAAACTGAGTAAGTACAGACTTCCATTTTTGCAAACTTCCCTAATGTAACTGCTCTTGATCTTCTAGGAGCATTTAGATTCTTTACTCGGAAACTTTCTGTTTATCGAATCGCATCGCACATTTAATTAAAAGTGCTATCAGTTTGTGTTCAATGCTCTGAGCATGGGAGCTGAGCTGGGTCCCATGGGGATACAGCATCTGCTACTGGGTACTTCCAAACCAGAGAAGGTCAGTCACGTGATTGGTGCTTTAAATTAGTTTGTTCACAAGTAGTCATATTATTTAAACTCTGAATTACAGTGCAAGGGATTTCTTTCTCTGTCTTTGGAAATAGCATCAAGGGGCTGAGGAAATAGCTTGGAGGGTAAGGTGTCTGTTGCACAAACATGAGGATGTGAATTTGGATCCCAAGTTTCCATAAATACATTGAGCATGGCAACATACACCTATAACACTAGGACGGGGGAGGGAAAGGGAAGTAGAAACAAGGGGGTCCCAGGGGCTTTCTAATCAGCCAGTCTACCACCAAAAGTGAGTGCCTGGTTTAGTAGCAGGTCTTGTTTAAAAGCATTATGTGGAGAGTGACTGGGGAAGACAAATTGACATTGACCTCTGACCTCTACATGTTCCCACAGGAGCATGAGAGAAAGCAAAATAAATTATCAACTGATTTCGTGGAAAAGCCTCCCACTCAGAGCAGAGTTTCACACTGTGTCTCCCAGCTGCCTCCTCTAGGAGCTGCCTCTTTGACCCTATCATGTAATGGGGTTGCTGAACAGCACTTTGTGCCTGGAGACATCAACGGGCATAAAGCTCTCACAGTTTCCAACAGCTTGACATAAACTAGACACGCTTAGGAAGAGTGGATCTCCATTGAGGAATTTCTTCCATCAGATTTGTCTGTGGGAATGTCTGAGGGGCCTTTTCTTAATTGCTAATCAATGTAGGAGGGGCCAGCACACCCTACACAGGTGGTCACTGAACATGACCTAGAAGTAACCACGAAGCTGCATCCTCCACGGCCTCTGCTTCAGTTCTTGCCTCCAGGTTCCTGTCTTCAGCTCCTGTCCTGGCTTTCCTTGGTAATGGCTATGTGGCTTTTGGTCAATGTTTTGCCATGGCAACAGAAAGCTTATTAGGACAAAGGCACATGCACAGTTCCAGCATCTTTGACCTTCTCCAAAAGGGTGAATCCTAGATTCGCAGAGAAGAACCGGCAGGCAGTGAGGGTCCATGGTGTGGCTAGTCCTGGCCGAAAGGAAATGGAGATCTATTTCTGCCTCTAGATGTGATACTTGGGTGGCCTGTGGATGCCCCTTGCCTCAGATGGGGTCTCCGATCTAAACCCTGAGCCAAAATGTCAGATGAAAATGGCTTAGTAATAACGGAGTTGGGTGCAAACCAAACAGGGAGAAGGGCTGTTAAGTGGGGCAGGGAGCTGGCCAAGGGTCCGCCTGATGGTCTAGCAGAGGCAAGTCTGTCCCTGTTGGGTCTGTGCATAGCTCTGAAGAGTCTGCATACCTCCATTTGTCCATTGAAGAGTGGGAGAGCACCTGGGCTTTGTAGTGTGGCATTAGTTACAGATGACCTCAGTTCTACCATTGCTGAAGAGCCTTGCAAATAGCAGGCAAAGGTGCTGAGGACACAGGTCTGGAGAGGGTCCAGGGGACTCAAGTGAGGCGTACACATGTCTAACATAGCATAAGGCATTTACGCATTTGATCAACCCTGACACCAAACAACCCCTAAGTGCTAGGAATTCCATATAAAGAACTTTTCTACTGGAGCCTGGAGGCGCAGGCATCTAATTCCAACTACTCAAGAAACCAAAGCAAAAGGATTACAAGTTCAAAGCCTGTCAAGACCAGAATGAGTTCACAGTCAGCCTGCGATGAGACCCTGTCTCAAAGCAGAAAGTCTAAAGGGTGCTGGGGCTGGAGCTCAGTGACAGAGTATTTGTGAAGAATGCAGTGGCCCCAGTTCCCCAACGACAAAAAAAAAAAAAAATCAAAGAAAAAAAGACAGACAGACAAACTGACCAGCTCTGAGCTCCTCTTTCCTGAGATGCTTTAGTTAATCAACCCCTTAAGGTCCTTGTCTGCTGGGCACTTCCCTTTCCTCTCCTCTTTACTTGTGTACTGTTTATTTCTTCCTACTAAAATCTCAGGTTTCTCCAGAGCTCTGGTTCAGTCTGCCAAGTTCACACCAGTAGCCAGGAAAGATCTCTCTGAGGGCTTGATATTTTCTCTCCAACCTGAAATTCAAAGAAGAGCAGCCACGAGAAAATAGGGGTAAAACGGTCCACGCACAGGACCAGGAAGCCCAAAGCGCTCTGGTGGAAATGAACTTGGGGAGTGTGCGGGAACAGGGAAGGGAACTTTAGGGAGCAAGATGAAGGGAATATAGGGGAGGAGGTTGGAATGGAAGGGCATCTATTAGAGCTGTGTGGGAGTTTTCCAGCCCTCTGAGAGAGACCAGACACTCCTAAGTCACGTCTGTGAAGGTGACTCCATCTTTGACCTCTCGCTGTCTTTGTTTCTAGGACAGCGTGTACCCCTTTCTCCAAGAGTGTATGGATGAGCTCTGAAGGCTTTTCACAGACTGATTTTCTACTCAGCAGTTTGTTGATGAATGCCAAAAGGGTAGATGCAGACTTATGTCAACAAGATGCGACAGGGAGGTTTTATAAAGAGACAAATTATCCTCACACACGAGACAGCAAAGCTCCGCTGCGCTGCAGGCTCAGCACTGCTGAGTTTAGCAAGTCAGGATTTGTTTCCTGAGCTAAAATTTCAATAGGAGAATGAACCCACTTTACCTCTCGTCATCCTCCGTGTGAGGTTCTGAAAATTCAGTCAAACCACACAGCCCTTTCTGGGATTCAGTGTAGGACGGGGAGAGAGGACAGGGAAGAAGGACAGGGAGACAGGATGGGGAGACAGGATGGGAAGGGAGGGTGCTACAGAGCCCAGCTAAGAAGAGACAGTGGCAGAGAACCCTGTGCTTATTCTGTGCCACCAACTAGGGTGACTTGATTGTGTAGTAGAGAACAGACAAAACAATTGCTTCTGGATGGAGCTTAGGGGTGAGTTTATATAATGTCTTATGTGGGAATTCGAGGTATATTATATAGATAAGATGCATTGGAGTTCACAGAGAACTAGAGGTACCAACAGCTCTTCTCCCAGTGTTTGTTTCTTCCTGTCGGGGCATCACACCCGCCTCAAAGTCAAATTTCCATGGAGACTGAGCTTCATCCAATGCTGCAGAGTGATTTGGAGCTGCAGAGCCATGGTGTAAGCATCCTTAAGATCTTATAAACGCGAGAAGTGACCACACAGAGAAGCTGGGATCCAGAATCGGTTACACACCACGCAGTGGCATTTAAGATGGCGTCTCTGATTTATTTCATAAATACTCAATTTATGGAAGAAATCTCCTGCTTTTGGGTTATAGAATAGACAGTTGAACCCTAAATCCCAAATCACCCCTTCTGAGAACGGTAGTTAACATGAAACCTCAGCCAGCAAGGAAAAGGGGCTCCTTACCTTCTTGTCACTGAGGCCTGTCACTTGGTCCACAAACTCCTCCTGGATCATGAAGGCAGCCAAGTTGGCTGTGTAACTGGCCAGAAAAATGACAGCAAAGAAGGCCCACACCGACACCATGATCTTGCTGGTTGTGCCTTTAGGATTCTGGACCGGTACAGAGTTGTTAAAGACCAGGCCCCAGAGGAGCCATATAGCTTTGCCAATGGTAAAAGAAGGTCCATGGGGAGCTGTAGATGACAGAAAAAATAGTTACAGCATTTTTACAGAGTGCACGTGTGTGCATGTGTGTGCGTGTGTGTGTGTGTGTGTGTGTGTGTGTGTGTGTGTGTGTGTACAGTAGCACTCACCAGTAGCACTGGAGGGATGGAAGACAGAAGCCTGGCACTGTTATGATTTTCCATTGTCCCCAGAACCTTACTGTAGTCAACTTCTTTTTGGCTTTAAGATAATTAACATTTTCCTCACATTTCCATCTAGCTGGATTTTTACCACATTTCTTAAAAAGAAAATAGTTATGCAAAATGGGTTTCCCGTGAAAAGTGGTGTTAGGACATGTTTTTAAATTTGGATTTGGTTTCCATTTGGGGAAACCAAACTCCTTAAAAAATGTAAAGGAGAACTTGAAAGAGGGAATTGGGGATAGGTTTGATCAAAACACGTTAAATGCATTTATGAAATTCTCAAATAATTGAAATACGTAAAGTAAATGTAAGGGAAGCCTGCAGAAGTATGTATGGGGTGGAGGTGGGGATTGCCTCACTGCTGGCTATTCCTAGGATCATTCAATCTGGCAAGAGCGAGCTGATATCCCTAAGAGCCATTCAATCTGGCAAGAGTATGCTGGGGTTCAAACACAGCTGTCCTTGGAAGTTGCTTCTGTTCAAATTCACAAGTAAAGTGTGCACAATATAAGAATCAAACTCCTTCTGGATGGAGGAATTAAGGATCAGACGCTAGAGCCTAATTCTCCCAGTGTTTCTCAGAAGGGGGAGGTTTCACTGCGGGTCGCAGAGACTGGGCTGACATCACATCTCTGTCCTTTGTCATCTGAATCCTCTCAGCAGTGTGTTCTTTTTCGGTTTCTTAAGTGTTCCTAGTGACTGGCTTAACCAGGAGGCAGAGCAATATGTGGAAATTTATTGGGAGGGGGCATATGAGGACAGTAAAGCACTCAAGTGAGGGTTTTCCAGACTTCATACTATACCAGGAAAAAAAAATCAATTATGCCCTCGGCCTGAGAGAGAAAAACGCCTTCTTTGAGAAGAAGGTTAATTTTTATGTCATTTAAGTAAATGAAGATGTGGCTAAATGATCTACCAAGACCTCATCTGGCAATGCTAGCAGAGTGGGCAATAAATAAAGCAGCAGAAGAGGGTTCTGCTGGATGGGAGGGAAGACGCTCTGGGCAGGGACCTAAGAGAAGAATCTTTCTCCACTGGACAATGGACTTGCTCCGACAGCCACAGTGCCCACCGTGCAATGCATGGAGGAGAATGTGGCTAACCCTATAATTCTCTATCTCAATCTCCCCTGGCTCTCTCTGCCTAATTTTATGATTTTCTGAATTTATTTCCAAGAGGTCAGGAACACTTGATCCAATCTACTAACTTCATCAGTTACTTAATTACAGAAAAGCTGACCAGCAGTGACAGCCATTTAGGAGTCACACACAGGAGGCTGAGAGGGGGATCCTGGGAACACTTTGGGGGATTCCTGATCCATGAATAATGTTACTGCACCATGTGACTTAACCCATAAAGTGTAGTGAAATGTAACATGTCATGGAGAAACAAGGAGCTCTCATTTCCTGAGCTGTCACATGCACAGGAGCAGGACACTAATAAGGAGCAAGCATGGAAAAGGCAAGAGTGTATGCTGGATCGTTCAGTATTCTTTAGATAGTTTTCTTATGATAAGCTTCCAGTGCATACTTTGGCCAAGGGATGAAGCACTGAAGAAAATGTTCTTCGAATCATCTTTATTCTCCACGATGTATCCCCCTGCCTCCACCTTCATAGCCTTTATTCTAGTCCCAACTACCCTAATTGTTTTTGCTTTATTATGTCTGGAATTTCATAGATGTATACAATGCATTTTGATCACATCCGTTACTTACTCCCCACCTCAAACTCCCCTGGGGAACCCCCCCCCATCACATCTTTCTCCCAATTTCAGGTCTTCCATCTTTTTTATTTGTGTATGTGTTTCTATTGCAGGAGTGAAACCCAGGGTCCTGTACACACCAGCCCTTCTGAAAAGTCTGTTGCAATTTTCCCAGACTAGTCTAGAACCTGCTTTGTAACCAAAATGGCCTTTTGGTAGCTGCAACGACAGGGCTGCGCCACTAGGCTTGCTTTCATTTTCTATTTCTTTTGACTTGTCAGGCCTGGTTCCAGCTCCACACTTTCCTGTTGGCGGCTGCGGCTGCTGTTAATTGAAGGCTCTTTCTGTTTTTCTCACAGCTAAGCTCTTCCTTTAGCTCTCAGCTGTGCATCGCCGGTTCTGAATCCCTTCCTGTCTTAGCGCCCTAGCTAAAGCAGTGCCCCACCCCTCACCAATGCATGACTCGTCTTGCACTTTACTATTTGAGATGCCTAATTAATGCCTAATTAACTAATTAATGGCTGATTAATGTCATTACCTCTTGTCTCCCCACTTAAGTCCTAAAACCCAAGAGAGTCAGGAAGCCACCATCTGATTCACCTTGTCTCCTGCACCTACATGGGGTTTGGCACACAGAATATACTCAGGAAATGTCCACGTGTAGAATGTGTGAGCCCTCCACTGCAAACTCTGCTGGTGGAAGTCCTGTTTCCCCTTCATATGATCATCAGGGGAGTCAGCTCACCACCACTGTGCTGAAAGCCCCTTCCTGCTTCAGCCTTTCCTTAAACACACCTTTATCTCTGCAAGGCCCTTTGGAGTTGGGGAGATGGCTAATACAGTATTCAGGGTTCTTCGGTAGCCACGAAGGTGAGGGCTTTAAAGAAACAATAAATTCCCATGACTTCTCGACTGTTTTGAGTGTAAATCTTTCAAGTTACACATGTATGTGTTGAATTAAAAGACGTCCTGTTCTAGAAGGACATTTGAGACATCAAGGTTTTTTTTTTCTCTTTTCTTTTTCTTTTTGTAGCAAGAGTACCAAACTTGGGGGCGTTTCACATGCTGGGCAAGTACTGTAGACCTGAGTTCTATTCCTGGCCCCAAGGTCTCCTGTTTTCTGCAATATAAGGTCACTGTGGGGGAAAGGGAGTCGATGCTAACATCTTTCTAATAACATCCACTTATGGAGGTGCCGTGCATTAAAAGAAATTTACTCAAAATGATGTGATGTGTTTACAAGCCTCTTAGTGAGTTATAACCAAAGATTATCTTTAAATTCGACTTTCCATCTACCAATTCTTTTTTTATTAAGTATAGTACGATATGATAAGACACCATCAAGGGGAAAATTTAACTCTGGGGAAATACACCACTTTATAGTTACATTTATTGTCAAACAATGCAAATAAGATCCACTAGTTTGAAGAATGTTCTTCAAGCAGAATCTATCAGGTCGTTTTATTTGCATAGATTGAAATTGAGATTTGTTGTGATTTAAATATTTCTTTTGATCTAGATTTTAAAAATAAATTGCCAAAAATCCTTCAACTCTATTTTCTAAACAAATTGAATATCAACGATATTTTACCTAACCATTCTTGACTTCAAATTATAAGATTAAACTGTTTCATGCTTGAACCCTATTTTTGGTACAAGTAAACAGATCATACATGTCACGTCAATGTGCCAACTCTATTCCTATGAAGATTCGCCACAGCAGTGCAGCAATGTGGAGAAAGTGTTCTACAACTAAAACTCTCTGTCTCCATATTGTGTGTGTGCATGTGTGAGTGTGCATGTTGGGCATTTATGTGCACGAGGGTGCATTCAGTTGTGAGACCTCATGTGCATGCACATGCGGAAGCCTGAGCTCAAAGTTGGGCATCTTCCCTCTAGAGCTTTACACCTTATTTTTGGGACAGGGTCTCATTGAACCTAGAGCTCACCCACTGACTAGAATGTCTGGCGAGCAAGGCCCCGGAATTTGCCTGTTTCTGCTCCATTCCCTCCGTGCTGGGTTGTGGATGTCCACCATAGCATCTGGTCTTCACATGCGTGCTGGGATATGAACTTAGGTCCTCATGCTTGCACAGCATGTATGCACCTTACATCCTGAGCTACCCTTCTAGCTCTGAAATAGCATTCACTTTGCATCAGGTATGTGAAGACTTTCTTACCTTTCCCTTTGGCTAAGTTTCTGTTGTATCCAACAGGACTGAAGTATTCAAAAACAAAGACAGCAATGGCGGAGACAATGAGCAGCATCACAAACATCATCACCCAGACGGAGGCGCTGAAGGGTTCTATTGGGAAAAAAGTAAGGACAAATGCATATCCGTCAGTTCTTCCCCATCTCCAACTGGAAGCTCACCCACCCACAAGCTTGTGGAACTTGCTGTCAGCAAATCTGATCATTCCAAAGAAGCTGGTCATTTTCATTCATACGTGAACTCATTCTTTCTAATGACTTGAGAAACTTCATAAGGCTGCACATGAGATGATAAAAATAGAGTAGAGAATGTGACGTTATACAAACCAGGTCAAGGGTAATATAAGGAAAAAGAATAATAAGAAGAGAAAGAATATGTTAGACTGCAAACAAATAGGCCACAGGGCCCCCACGTGATCATAGAACCATCCAGAACACTAGAGCTGAGGAGAAACAAGCCAGACACAGATTAGTAGTATATAGAGTCACAAATGTGTGGTTTAAATTTTTATTTTCATTTGAATTTTTATATACTAGTGGTGAGGATCTGTGGGGAACTTCAGAAGTAGACGGATAATTATATCCTGTCATAAAGGATTATAAATTATTAGCATTGTCAAGAATATTAGAAGGTCACAATTTGCCAACCTCTGCTGCAGATGGATAAGATTTCTGTGGCCTACATGTCTTACTGAGGTGGATGGTGGGCTTCACTACACCTAAAAGTCATTTGGAGCTATTACTTTCATGGTAAAAGTCAATAAGACATCATTGAGAGAAAAGGTGATGAGGGTTTAGATTGGTAAATAGTTGCTTCCCTTATAAGACATCTTAATAGTTCACTATACATAACTTGGGCAGTAGGCAGGTATCTCAGAAGTGGGGGGGGCACAAAGTTCTAAGTCTTACAACATTTTAGAAAGTTTACAGATCCTGTATATAAGCGAACACGTCCACTTAACCTGATTGCGAATATGAACATTAGCTGATTAAAGCTGTGTTATCATGTATGATACAGATGGGTTAGAAAATTCAGCAAAAAAAAAAAATTCTTAATGGACACACCTCCAAATGATTGCATAGTATGGAGGATATCACCCCAGACACAAATGAATTGAAAGTCTTTTCCCAGAAGAAAGCACTTGAGTAAAGTGTAGTAAGTGGGACAAAGCCGCTGGGTGGCAAACGCCTTACTATTTCTACAAGTTTTATGAGGTTGTTAATTAGTGACGAATAGAGTCTGTGAGTCCCCGACACAGGCAGGGTCCAGGGAGGTGATCTTAATGTAAGTCAGGAATAGAGTCTGTGGGTCCCCAACACAGGCAGGATCCAGGGAGGTGATCTTAATGTACAGTCAGGATTAGAGTCTGTGGGTCCCCGACACAGGCAGGATCCAGGGAGGTGATCTTAATGTAAGTCAGGAATAGAGTCTGTGGGTCCCCAACACAGGCAGGATCCAGGGAGGTGATCTTAATGTACAGTCAGGATTAGAGTCTGTGAGTCCCCGACACAGGCAGGATCCAGGGAGGTGATCTTAATGTAAGTCAGGAATAGGGTCTGTGGGTCCCTGATACAAGCAGGATCCAGGGAGGTGATCTTAATGTAAGTCAGAAATAGGGTCTGTGGGTCCCTGATACAGGTAGGATCCAGGGAGGTGATCTTAATGTACAGTCAGGAATAGAGTCTGTGGGTCCCCGACACAGGCAGGATCCAGGGAGGTGATCTTAATGTACAGCAAGAAAGTGATATGTCTAAACCTTAATGATGTTGGATAATTCAGAACCTGGAGCAAATGAATTGGGATTCTATTTCAACAATGTGACTATGTCAAAGGGCAGCAGGTGACGGTAGAACTTCCTTCCTTAACACAAAAATGAGCGTAAGGAATCAAGGCGGCAGCTGAAATTTGTCTTAGCTGATTTCAGCTAGAATAATAAATACCATTATGTTCCTGGAATCACTGCAACCTGGTAATGAGGTGCATCCAAAAGAAAGATAAGTAGATGGATAATTAGGAAATCAAAAAAAGTATTTAATCATCAAGAATGAAGATATTAAAGTAATTCTGCAAGTAGGGTGTTCTAATGGCAAGGCGTGTCTTGCCGGCATACATGATGAGCGTGTGAGCTTTCCTGGGGAAAGCCTTTCGCACTGCCTCTTAATTGCTGTCTTCTTACAGCACATGGCGGATGGGGCGACAGCTTCCACAATTAAAGCCAGAAGGATGAGTGATGTTCTGTCCCCGGTGCTGAAAAAGCACCTTCAGTTAATAAAACCACACTTACTAATTAGCTCCCATTTCTCTGTAGGACCTGATAACATCATAAAATGTACGGGTAAATCAGTACAGCGTTCTGTTTGTGTGTCAGGACTTTTAAATCTGCAGCAGATTTTGTTTGGTAGGATACATTCTGGTCACTAACATACTAGAATGTTATTTATTTTGTGTATGTCACTTGTATGTTTTGTGTGTGTGTGTGTGTGTGTGTGTGTGTGTGTGTGTGTGCACGTGCGTGAGCACGCATGCACGCGCCCTTATACGTGCATGCACACTTGCTTGCCATGGAACACTTGTGGAAGCTATCAGACAACTTGGAAAAATCAATTCTTTCTTTCCATCCTGTGAGTCCCTGGGACCGAACTCAGTGGTTTGGCTTGGTGGTGAATGCCTTCACCCACTGAGCCATCATATTGGCCCAGTATTCTGGTTTTAATAGATAAAGTATGTGTTTGTATCCTGCTATTCACAGACCACACACACACACACACACACACACAGAGAGAGAGAGAGAGAGAGAGAGAGAGAGAGAGAGAGAGAGAGAGAACTATGAAAAAGAATATAAGTGAAAAAGAATATAAGTGAACCAGCCCATAGCATCTGAGGCATGACCCAGAAATATCTTAAATTGCTGCAAGTTATATCCTCCAGTGGTTTCAAACAGATTCAATGTTTAGCTATAAAGGAACTTCAGTGTGGGAGACTCCAAGTTAGCATTTCTGCGGATCAAAGAATCTAACCTGCTCAGCAAGCTCTTAGAATTAACTGGATAGCAGCATTACAAGAGATACCATCACTGTCCTTGAAGAGCTGCTGGTTATGGTTTTACACAAAATCTCAGCAGCGTTACCTGACCGACATGTCCCGAGTGAGTTAATGGAGTTTACGGAGGAGAGAGAATAGGAAATAATGAAGACCGGCCCAATCAGGTTTTGAGTGTTTAGGCTCTCTGCATGGCTGAGCCCATGAATGGAAAAATGGAGCTTAGCTCAGCTGATTATGACTTTCAAAACCTGCACATGATGTCTGTAAATAAGGGGTGCACAGCCAGTCTGAGAGGACTGTAATCTGGAGACCAGGAGAAGTGTGAAACCTACTGTATAAAAGCAGCTTTGACAGCAGCTCCTCCCCACACAACTCACTTTATTTTAAAGAGACAATATGAAGAAGGGGTGTTAAATTGGACAAAAGAGTTGACTTCCTATGGAGATACTCTAAAGACACAGGTAAGATTTAAAAATAAAAAAATCTACCCAAATTGGGTTGAGGCCAGATTCAAAATCAGCGACCCATTTTTATAAGCCAAGTCACTCGATATTCTTTGTCTCTGATTGTGCTGGCAAAAAGTTCTCTCTGGTTCAGGGACATGGAGCGTTTTGTGAAAAAGACTCATGTCTTTCTACATTACTGCATGGATTCCGTGCTTCCCAACCTTTTCTTATCCCCCAGGGCATCTGCATTGTGCTAAACAGTCTGGTGGGCAGGACAGGAAAAAGAGGACAAAGAAGCTAAGAAGATGCCTATCTCACACCGACCAAGACTCCGTATTCCTGGCAGGAGGAGTCAGTTGACTTTTCTGGTGTAATGAGATCTCAGAATCTGTATCAAACCAAGGGACAAAGGGGAGAACATAGCAAGATACATGTCTTTCTCCAGCTTGTTATTAGACCAACAAAGGCTGTAAAGATCGGAATAGCAAGTACATAACTTAAATGCAGTGAGTGGCAAGGATTTCAACAGCTTAACTGGATTATCAGAAATGAAAACGGCCATTCCCTATGCTGCTTTGAAAAGGCAGTCTCCAAGAATCCTGTTAGTCAACACTGCTCAAGGCGAAGTGGTTTGCAAGTGCTACTGGCTGCTGACGTGGCATACATGCAGATAAAGGGAGCAAAACTATAGGTTTGCAGTTGGTACCCACAAGTTAGAGTCTGTAATTCATCACTTAGTGATTTATCTCCATATCTATTGATTCAGTGCAGGTGTGTTTGTGCCTGGGTGAGTGTCTATGTGCACCAATATATGCAGTGCCCACGGAGGCCAGAAGAGGGCGTCAGCTTCTCTGTAACTGGAATTATAGGTCATTGAAGGCTGCCATGTGGGTGTTGGGAACTGAACTCAGATCTTCTACAAGAGCAGTTAAGTGCTCTTAGCCACTGAGCCATTTCTCCAGCCCTTGTGATTTTCTCTAATGATGTTTTCCTGTCTCTGGAAAAGTATAAGAAATTTAGTTGACCGTAATAAAACCATTTTCCCTCACTCTTTGAGCTTTTCTCCTGAGACAAACATCTGTCTTCAGCTTCCCAAATATGGACAAGCTCGTTTATATGTGAATACCAAGGAAAAGTTAATAATCTAAACTTCATGATGTTTACAAGATAGCTTCTAGAAAGTAATTTATAATAACACAGTCACTTTAAAGAAGAAATTAATTGTGCTTGGCTGTGTGCCATGAAGTTACTATGACTCCCAGCAGGACATACAGTCCCGTGTTCGTGGGAGGTAACAATAGGAAGAACAGCTCCACCTTGATTACCTTTCATGTAAACACATTTATGAAACTGTTAAAAGGAAAGTTGAAAGCATTTCCTATTTTACAAGTTATATGGCAAGGACAGCCACACTCTAAACTAAGAGCACATTACTCCTCTGTCAGTGTGTAGTCCTCAGATTACTTATGTTTACTGTAGCTCTAGAGTAAACCATGGGCAGTCCCCATTACTCCCCATGAGTGAGTGACTAGTGGCCTGAAAAGTGTGTGTGTGTGTGGAGGGTGAATAAAGGTCTAGAGCTTATTTAAATTAGCTGCAGGCCGACAGACTAATTTATTTTTTAATGTTTTCATGGTTTTAGCAATATATTAATTTTCATCCTACATAATCAAGACCAGTATCTAAATATGTGGTGGTATTTATCAGCAGAAATGCCCAAGTTAAAGATAAGTGAAAAATACGAGCTGAGGGGAGAGGAAAGTTCCACCTGAGACCTGGGGAACAAATCGGGTCCTCAGGCTTACACAGCAAGCTTTTTACCAACTGAGGCAATTACCCAGCCCAGGATAAAGGCTGGGTCTTTTTTTTTTCCCCAGGGAAGCGATCATTACTATGAAACTCACATACCAAGGAAAGCAGAAGGGGAGACGGTGCCATTGCTCCTGGAGACCATGACACTGATTCCTGTCTCCACGAAGGGTACCGAGAAGTCCACCACTTCAGAACGCTCCTCGTTGATGGTGAGTGAGCCCACGGCCATGACTGCTCGTTGGTAGACCACCTGGATGGAAGAAAGAGCATCACCTTCACCATCTCTCCCCAGCACCACCGGCCCCCAAGCCCGCTGTTGGGATGAGAACCTGGAGGCAGCAATGCTGACTTACTTCACCTATCATTCCGTTCCACACGTTGTTAACCTTTTTCCCGTGCTTCCCATTGGTCACCAGGTAAAGGTCGTAGGTAAACTTCACAGTCCTGGACAGCTTCTTCAGGATGTCAATGCAGAACCCCTTGCAACACTTCTTCACATTCATCCCTTCGTTGGTTGAGTTGCTGCCAAGACAACCCAGGATCACAGAGAGTTACTCTTGAAAGGCTGTGCTCTTGGCTACGTATACATTTGTATTTTTGGATGAGATGATATTTTTGGAAGCTCATAAAGGGGAAGTGAGTTCTTAAAGCAAGAGTTGAAAGTCTTCTTTAGTCTTCATCTGCGTGTGTGTGTGTGTGTATGTGTGTGTGTATGTATACATGTATGTGTGTATACATGTAGTGGACATGTATGCAGTGGTCAGAGGAGGATGCCACATGCCTTCTATCCCTCTCCACTTTGCTCTCTTTAGACAGGGTCTCTCACTGAATCTAAGGCACTTGCCATTTTGGCTAAACTGACTGGCCAACAATCTCTCATGGTATGTTCCTTCCCATCTCCTGTCCAGTGCTGGTGTTACAGGAACATACAGCCGTGCCCACCCAGCTTTTGACACGAGTGCTGAGCATTCAAACTCAGGTCTTTGGGCATTCGTGTCCTGCACTCTTATCCACTAAGCTACCTCCTGAACTTGTTTTGTGATGCAGGGTTCCATGTAGCCCAGGCTGTTCTCAGACTCTTTATGTAGCTGAGGATGATTTTGAGCTTCTGATTCTCATGTCTCCACTTCTTGTGTGCCAAAAGTATGAGCCACTGCATCCCAGGCACGCCCTCTATAAGCTGAGCTACATCTGCAGGCCCAAAACTGCTAAATTATAGCAGCTAACATCTATTGAGTGGTGCTCATTGGCTAAGCACTCTGAGAAGTGTTGATAAACTGTGGGCTTCACCTCTCTCCGAATTTGGTATAGCTCACACCTATTACCAGAGGAGAGTTACCAGCACTTAGTTTTGAAGAGTTTTGAACATGTAAAACCTCTTTAGATCAGAGTATTGTCATCTGTTCTAAACTGATTTTAGAAAAAAAAAACTTATTGGAAAATGGAGCAGAGAATTTGAAAGGCTTTAGGACAGTAGGGTTTTTCTGCCTCTTTATGGGAGAAGTGGGGGCTCCTAAGAAAGCATCTTAGTGTCAGGGCCCCTGAGCTTCCTCCTTTCCAGAGCTGTGGATTTTATCTCTCGGCAGAGCTGCCAGTCCAGTGAGGGTTTATGATGCCAGTCTTTCTGTGGAGATGCATGCCATGAAATGCAAAGATGATGTCTCTGGAAGACAACACCTCAGGGCAGGGAAAAGTCCTGGAAGACGCAGCAGGGTCTGGGGAGATGGTTTAGAGGACAAGCTCTTCCTGCACAAATACCAGGATCGGAGTTCAGAGCCTGGAACCCCACAAAAGCCAGGCAGGCATGGTGGCTGCCTGTAACCCAGGCTCGAGAGGCCGAGATTGTAAACTGGCTAGGCAGGCTAGGAATGACTGCTAAGTTCCAGGTTCAATAAGAGACCTTTCATCAGTAAACAAAGTGGAGAGCAGTGAAGAAAGATCTCTGATGTCAGCTTCAGGCCTCAACAGGTATACATACACACATACATAGATATATGTGTCACACAGTTGAACACACACACACACACACCACATACATATACATATACATAAGATACTTATGGCATTGTCATATTGAAGGTAACCTTGTTACCTCCCATTGGCTCTGCCCACTCTTCTTTACAGTCACCTGGCTTGACTCACTTGACAGATCAGGTTCTAGAGACATCATACAAATCTCTCACAACCAAAGGAAGCACCGTGGTCTTTGAAAACAAGCAGGAAATTGTTCCCAGCCTTACCAGAAGATTAAGGTTTTTTTGCACAACACTCAATTCTACCTTGCACCAATGGGTGTCCTATTAGCTCAATCCTGCAGGTGAGTCCCACAGTCGTGAAATACCCGCTCTATCGGAAAACTCCACTTTTCATGCATTTTCACAGTGAATTGCTAACTAAGCATCAAAATAGTGCTTATGGAAATTCAAGATCAAACTAGGAAAAGATTTCCATGCCTTATGAAAAAGTAGGGTACCAAGAAATACAAATATAAGCATAGCTAAGCAAAATCAAACCTCTCAAAATGTCATCCAGAAAAGCAAGGAAATAGGAAGGGTGGTATATTTGGTGGGAGGGATATTTTTTCTTTCCCATGCTTTTGAAATACATCCCCATGTTTTCTAGTGAGTGTGAATTCTGCATCTAATTAGATACACATGCCAATATGTATATAGATATACACATACAAACATGCGTCAGGCCTCAGAGATATCTATCCGTGTCTCCATCAGGAATGTGGACATGTTTGACAGTGTAACTGGTGCAGTGGGTTGCAAGCTACATTTTTTTTCTTATTTCAAGGCCATGTGTGTCCTTGCTTGATGCAGTGTTTTAACCTTTACACCTGATCCTATCCCAAACTTCTACTCAATGATCTGACTTCCTTTGGCCGGATGTGTCATGGTGACTTCCCTAGCTTAGCCTCCAACCTTAGTGATCTTCCCTGACCTTCCACCCTCATCTTGGAAGTCACATCTACATATATTCGCATACAATAACTGCTGGGATCAATGTTATAAAATGATAGGAAGTGACTACCTGCTTCTCCCCTATCAAATACTCAGAATAGAGGGTTTATGGTGGGCTGAGAAACAGCAGAAACACAGCCTAGGTACACTCAATTAATGGCAGGTCCAGTTACCATTTTCCTTTCTGTATATGCAGCTTTGACATGTGTGCCCTGGTTATATTCTCTTTCTTTCTCCTGGCAACTGAACCACACACAGATACCTCTTCCTCTGTCTGGCTAAGATTCCTGAGATGTGTTGGACAAAAGTTACAGATGCCCCATATTTTAGAGTCAGGATCACGGGTATCTTCTGGCCTTGCTGAAAGTCTCAGCCAGTTTCTGAGCTAGTGACATCTCTTGACCACAAGGTTTATTTCTAGATATAGATGGCCACAGTGAATGTCCACCCTATAGGCCTCCTCTGTATAAGCAACTAGGTTCTAAAAACACAACATGAAGGAGACAAGCAAGGTTACTAATTAAATCCATTATGAAGGCGCCTGCTGACTGCAAGGGTCTGATGGCTTCATCCTAGCCTTGTGAGTGAAGGGTGTAGCTTAATCTCAGAAAAAACTTGAAATGATACTCGGGCTTCTTCAGCTCTTCACCACCACTCAAAGCAAAGATGATTCATAGACACAAATAAAAGGAAAGAGAGCTAACAAGACATGTGGTTCAACAGCTTTGCGATTCTCCTGGGTGACCAGTGGAGGAAAGCAATGCAAATCAGTGCTCTGAGCAGAGCCTGGCCTTGCTATTATTACAGACCAGGGAATCAGATGATTTCCCTGGCTCCCGAGGAGAAGCCGTCACTTTACAGGATGGCTAGGGACATGTGCAATTTGAGTGTGGAGTGTCTCCTACAGACATGTATGTTAGAAGATTTAGTCACTAACAATTGGCTGCTGTTTGGGGTGGTTGTGGAACTTTCTGAAGGTGAGGCCTCACTGAAAGTAGTTGTTGGGGGAGTCTCTTGAGGCTTATGGTTCAGCCTCACTATTGTTCACTCTCTGTTTCTTGGTCTGCTGTATATGGAGACATCCCTGACAGAGACTGACCACCATGGATGAGGCCACACCCACCACCATGCCTTCCCCGCTGTATTAGTTAACTTTCTAGTTGCTGTGACAAAATACCTGACAGACACAAGGAAAGAAGGAGCTCATCGGGGCTTACAGTTTGAGGGTACAGCCCATTGTGGACAGTAAGGCATGGACATGAGAACATGAGGCAGCTGGTTAACTGCATCTGTAGTCAAGAAGGCAAAAGAGAAAGACAGAGACAGAGACAAAGAGGGAAGAGAGACACACAGAGAGAGTAACAGACAGCCACACAGAGACAGAGAGACACAGGGTGAAGTGTTGGCCCTCAGCTTGCTTTCTTCTTGGTATTCAGTACAGGACATCAGGCCAGAGAACGGTGCCTTCTACATTTAGGATGGACCTTCCCATCTCACTAAACCCAGTATATAAGCTTCCTTACAGACATGTCCTGAAGGGCCTCTCCTAGGTGACAACAGATCCTGCCAAATGAAAGTATTAACCATCACACTGCCATAATGGACTGAAACTCCTAACACTGTGAAGCAAAATAGACGTCTTTGATTCTTGATGACTAAGACAGATGGTTACATGAAAATGTGTGTAGAGCATTTTTAGTATAAAAGAATTATTGGCGCTATAAATCTAGCCAACCACCTATGACTGGTGAGGCTGTGGAACCCTGAGGAGAACCTAGTGCTTTCTCTTCCCTAAACCAGGATAATTCCACCTATATTCTGAATATTTTCCTGTATAGTCACAGATAAGTGGAAGCTTCACCCCTCATCAAAGATGCTTCTTTTTGTAGCAGACAGAATCCAGTGCAGAATGACACAACTAATCAAGATACACAGAACAACTGACCATGGGTTCCCAGCCCCAAAATGCTACATCTATAACACAACCAACAACAGAACCAACACAGTCAATACAACCAACACAACACACACAACCCCTACACCTAAGGAACACTGCAGGAGAGGAAGCAAAAAGTTCTTAAGAGACAGAGAACCAGGACATTTGCTTCAAGCTTGTGTCTTCTAATAATATATACATATATACATATATGTGTGTATATTTATATACAGAGAGAGAGATATAATACTTTAATGTATATATAAAATAATTTCTCTTGAGGAAGAGACCTGGTCAGTAGTCCTCATCAACTTAGACCATGAGACCCAATATGGACAAGTTCAACAGAGCTGCCGTATATGGGCTGCCCATGCATGCTTCAGCTTGCCAGGGCATAAATTTCATTTTTTCATTCATTTCATATAAACTAATTTTAAATATTAATATATATTTAAATGAATTCTCTCTTCCCTTCAATGATTTGACAGGTGAAGAGTTTATTGGTAGAATGGCCATTTATGCTCACAGATCAAGGCAAATAATTTTTCCAATTTTCTCTCCATGCCGTAAACGCTTTGCAGAGCAGATGGAAAGTCATTTCTCAGATTCTGAATAGAGAACCCACTGTTTCAGAGACAAGATGTGAGCCACAAAAGGTCTTCCTCATGAGAGAATCACCAAGATAACAAATGTGCTCCCTCTGTCTGGTTGGGATCTTTCTGTAGCCCTGCACAGAACCTTTTATTCTGGAAAAGCAGTTGCTCTCATCTACGTTAATGCTGGCATTAGAGGACCCTGGTATATCTATTGTTCTAAGTTAAATTCAACACCTTAATTGTGCCGGGACACACAGCCACAGCAAGTCCCTCTCATTTCCACATAGAAAACGGGAAGTTGAAAGCTACTACCTCCCTGCAGAAACACAAACTACAAACTTGAATATATTAAGCTGTTTAATCTTCAATAGAAAAGTCAATTCTTTAAAGAGACTAATTTATTTGGGTTCATGTTTCTCTATAGAAATGTGACTTGGAACTTTAATCTACTTGGTTTTGCCTCCAAAACTACTGACCATGGTATATATAATATAATATAATATAATATAATATAATATAATATAATATAATATAATTCATATTATAAACTCATGTACCCCAGGCTGGTCTCAAATTCATTATATACTCAAGCATAAACATGAACTTCTGACCTCCATATTCCTTTTCTTGAGTGATAAAATTAAAGGCTTGCACCACCGGACCCAGTTATGTAGTTCTAGGGATTGACCCTAGGGCCTCATGCACACTAGGGAAGCATTCTACCTCTGAGAGAGGTTATAGGTTCCCAGTCAGCTGACTGACTTTACACTCTAACTCCTCCCCTAGAGTTGGGAAACACCAGAAGCCCTGCTTGATTGGCTGCTTCCGGCAAAGGGCTGTGATGGTCAGAGGTATCCTGCTGAGGTTAAGCTTTTTAATTTGTGGAAGACACTGCTTTCTTCATCTGATCAATTTCAGCCCATGACTCCTGCCCCTATGTTTGGGCCCCTTTCCCACACTCTTTCTTCACAATTCTTCCAGCTCCCTCATCTCCAGCCTTCAATGGGTTCCCTTTGGTTTATCAAGTTTGCTATACTCTTTCTCGTCATGGGATCTTTGGATGCTCTTCTTCCAGGCCTTCAGATGTCTAACCTGGGGTAAAAGCCACCCAGTATACCAGTGCATGGGAGAAACTGTCCAATAATTGACTAATACACTGCCTGTTGAAGCTCTGGGATGAGTCCCACTACAGAAGCAGAGCACCAGGCTTCACAAGGGAGTCACAGCAGGAGCAGCCCCCATGCAAAGGCAGCATTCCCAGAGCCTTGCATCTGGGCCTGTCTCCACCAGAATGCAGATCTCTGGTGGGCTGACCTTCTGATTTGTCAGCTGAAATCTCACTGCATAACCCTGCAGACCGCAACACGATTCCTTACCTTGTGATCTATAGCACTCTTACCTAGGCCAGCATACTCTCCTGTCACTCTCCTATGGATCCCCTTCACAAGGCCTAACAGCATTCATTGGCCCTGGTCCTTCACTGACTGAGCTGTTTTTTAACCATTTTCAACACGTGACTACAAGATCCTTGTCTTGACCATAAATGCATCCGTGTCCCCAAAGGGTTTGTACATGAAGGAGAACCCTAAACTTACTATATCAGTTTCCTCTTGAGTGTGAGAAAAGAGAAAAGGGCACGAATGTAGTCCATTCCTACCCGGAACCCACCTAAAAGTCATGTGCAAGAGTAGCATCACCCCAAGCTCAGACAGGATTAATTTAAACCTAAAAAGTACCCATCAGCGAAATATAAGAGACAGAAAGAAGAACATGCTGCAGGGGACAAAAACAAGGGAGTCGTTAAAGGAGAGACTGAAGGGCAGGTGTGGTGGTGATGCCATTTGTTGGCCCCGTATTTGAATCCCATCTTTCCTGTTTCCTCACTGCATGGTCTTAAACAGGCTTAATCTTTGTGTTTTATTTTATTTGTGAGTGGTGTGTGTTTATGTGTATTCTGTGTAGGTGTGTACACATGGTGGAGGCCAGAGAACAAACCTGGGTGGTTCCTCAGAAAAACTACACCTCATTTTGAGACAGAGTCTCTCACTACCCTGAAATTCAACAAGTAGGTTGGGCTGGCCGACCAGTGAGTCCTAGGAATCCTTTGTCTCTTCCTCCTAGTGTGTCACTATGCCTCACTGGCTTTTTTATTATTATTAATATTAATGTTGGTTTTAGGACTCAAACTCAGGTCTTTGTGTTTACAAGACAAGCCCTTGGCCAACCAATTCATCTCTCCAACCCTGAAGATTTTCTTAATATTCCTATAATCTGCTAGTATCACTTTCCCATGAACAAAACCACCTACTCCATATCATCACTGGAATTAAATAAGTGCATACGTGGCACATCTCCAGGCATGTAAGTCTGCTAATCTACATAATCATAACCATGGGATATATTTGATATTATGACTGGATTGTGCATACTGTTGCAAAGCTCCTAGCTAGGACTGAACACATTTAGCCAAGAGCATCCCCACAACTCACTTGATCTTGACAAACTTCCGACATGGCACCGTGTTCCTCACACAGGTCTCTGTCAGCGGGTCGATGTCTTCTACAATGACGAAGGGGGCTTCCTCCAGGGTGACAATGCTCAGGTGGTTGTCGTCTGGCTCACAGTCAGAAAAGGACTTGTACCTCGGCCACACAGCGTGTCTCAGGCTCAGGGTCTGGTTCTCCCATTTGCCCACCTGTGTCACAAACACAAAGACGCATTGTCCTTTGATACATCACTGACTTCCAGAAAGGCAGGTTCTCTCCTCAGGAGACACGGGAGAGGACATCTAACAGCCTGAGGGGCCTAACTGCTGCATGCCTTGATGGACACTTTGCTTGTGCACTAAGAAAGATGGTGAGGACCTGAATATTGGGCAGCTCCTCCACATCCCAAAGCCCTCTAGAGGCTGGTGAAATGGGTACCTGGAAGTGATGACTACCACATGTACTTCTGGGGCTTCCCAGAAAGCTCCAATGATCTGCCAGAGTTCAGGGCAAGGGTGTCATGGAAACAGCATGGGCTGTGACAGTCACAGAGGTACAGGTTTACATGTGCATCTCCCCACTTCTCAGCTGTGCAAATGCTTCTCACAGGAATGGCATCTGCTTCCTCATCTGTCCCGTGATGCAACTCCACCTGCTTCCTATGCTGTCAGTGTAATCAAGTAGGCGCACACAGCAAGTGCAAGTGCCTGGCACATAAGGCGGAGCTCGGGTTTCTACTGATGTTGTAGAGAAAGGAAAATGAAAGTGGGAAGCACCAAATATGCTGAGAACTAGGAAGAAGAGAGTGATGTGAGGTGAATGAGCAAAAAAATGAGAGGAAGATTGAGCGAGAAGGCGACCTAAGGGGCAGAGCAGTGATGAAATTAGAAGCATCATTTCACCCCGATGTGGTCCCAGTTAAGTTGCAAATGAAGGTGAACTTTTACTAATCCACAGAGCGGAGACTATTACTGCTTAGCACGCATCAAGACCTGTCAAAACAGAATCGATTGTATTCCCTCTGAGCAGCAGCCAGCATCTTAGTGAAATCAAATTGAAGGCTGTATGTTTTGAACCTTAATTTTATTTGACAGTTTATTGGCACTGCTCACATACTCCCAGGGAGAAGGCTGCCTCCATGCCTTGCTCTCTCCTTCCTCCTCCTGAGCAGTGGCCTGACACCTCACCAGATAAGCTAACTGCCAAGTGCAGGCTTGTCTGTGCTGATGTGACCCACTCACCTCTCCTTGGGTGATGTGAGTACCACGAGAAATGAATCTCAAGTCCTTAAAGAGAATCCAGGCACACTGAGTACCAGAGGTGATGAGGTGAAAGGAAAGAGAATTTCTGCTCTCTGAGATTACCTCATCATTTGTACTGGAAAATTTTTGTTGCCTGTAAAGAAACATCCCATGTGGCTAATTACAAAATTGTCTAGCTTTGGTGATAGCGTCCTTTTTTAGACACAGAGGTTGCCAGACTAATTTGGTGAGGCAAACATGCTCATCTTTCCATGATGTGAGATATAAACTCGGGAAAAGTCTGTAGAATTTTTTCTTTGTTCAGCATTGATTTATTGCACACCTACTGTGTGCTGGTACCAGCCTAGAATGGTTCTTGCCTTCCTGGTCCTGTCAGTCAGATGAGGGACAGTGACCAAAATAATAATACCAAATCTATACATACATTAAACTTTGCTGTTGGAGAGATGGCACAGTCAGTGAGTGCTTGTACCACAAGCATGGGGACCTCAACTCAGTCCCTGTAACTCATGAGATAAAGTAGGACATTCTGGAATGTTCTTGTAATTTCACTATTGGGGAGGAAGTCAGGTGGATCCCTGGGCCTTGCTGGCTAGCTAGCCTAGCTAAGTCAGTAAATTCCACGACACTGAGAGACACTAGAAAGAAAGAAAAAAGAAAGAAAGAAAGAAAGAAAGGAAGGAAGGAAGGAAGGAAGGAAGGAAGGAAGGAAGGAAAGAAAGGCCCTTCACATCCCCCCAAACCAGGTAGACAGCATCTTGAGAAACAACACCTAAACACACACACACACACACACACACACACACACACACACACACACACATTTGCACACGCATGAATGCATATATAGGCATAAACGTGCATATTTTTAACAATCATTTCCATTCCTTTTCATTTCTCTTGAAAACCTCGAATCTGACCTCCCAAAGAGGCTGGGTAGCAGAGTGGTCAGGCCAAAGGCTCCAAGGGCTCAGACACTCCGAGTGTTCCTACCATATTTACCCTTAGCTGAATAACTGTGGGAAGAAGGCCCCTTAACCTCTCCGAGCTTCGCTTTTTCCATTTGTAAAATGCAGGAAACAACCAGAACTGAGGACTGGAATGCGGTCTAAATGAGACAAAAATATACACAATGTCCAAAGCACAGAAGCTAGCAAGGCACAGAATGTAGACAGAGGATGTTCTCAGTCCGCTGTTAGCATATATGTTAGCATTATGTTAGCAATCACCTCCTCTGAAAAGCTATCTTTGCTGTCCCCAGAGATGGAGAACTCTGTGCCTCTATGCACTGTGGCATTCCATACTACAGTTACACAAAATCACTTCTGTGTAGCCAGGAGACATTGTCACTTAATCTATGTGCCCGCCCCATACCCAGATCCTACATGGTTAACGTTATAGTTTCAACTTCATAGTTCAACACAGTGGGCTTGTGTAACTTTCCCTAACTCGCACAGTGAGCTCACTACCCCTTTTGGCTCTCTGAGACTCAAACTTACTGCCTTACCACACTTCAATTCATTCATCCTTGGTAATTACACTGTAGTTTCAAGACTCTTCCTGCCTTCCAGATGCAGCTTCTCAATTCCCATGTAAATAATATGCATGTGATTTGAGCTGAGCCAATGAGAGACATGCCTGGAAATATTGCTCAGCCTGTTAGGATACAGTTGTCATGATAGGAACAATCTGTTAGACAATGAATATTGAGCTAGGTAATAGAAATACCAGAACACTACGGTGATTGTGTGTGTGTGTGTGTGTGTGTTAGGAGGGTGTGCGTGCAAGTGCATGAGAGTTGAGGTCAGAGGTCAGTCTTGGATGTTGTTCACCAGACATTGTCTACCTTGTTTCATTTTTGTTTATGAGAGCATTTATTTTCTTTTGGAGATTATAATTTAATTACAAGGTTTCTTCCTTCCTTTCCTCCCTCTAAGCCCTACCATATATCCTTTCCCACACTCCTTCAAATTCATGGCCTCTATTTTTACTAATTGCTATTGTATCCATGCATATCCATTCCAATATATAACATATATTCATATATACATATATATGTATGTATGTGTGTATATGTGTTCAGTCTGTATAAAGGTACTTATACATATGTTTTCAGGGGTGACAGTTTGAGGCTGGACAACCAGTTAGTCTACTCTTCCCTGGGGAGGCCACCTCTCCTCCTCTGGGCGTTCTCCTGTTGTTTGTAGGTCTCAGTGTACAGGTGAGGCTTGGTTTTTAGTTGGTGTTCCTCACTAGCCTGAAGATCACTGATCAAGCCAGTCTTACTGGTCACTGAGTTTGAGGATAGATGTGATTTATCTATCCCCATGCACAAAACTCAAGTCCAGATGGATTAAAGACCTCAGTTAAATCTTACCACATTGAACCTGATAGAAGAGAAAGTGAGAAATAGCCTTCAATGCATGGGCATAGGAGACCACTTCCTAAATATAACACCAGTAGCACAGACATTGAGAACAACATTAAATAAATGGGACTTCCTGAAACTAAGAAGCTTCTGTAAAGCAAAGGGCATAATCAACAAGACAAAACAGAAGCCTACAGAATGGGAAAAGATCTTCACCAAGCCCACATCAGACATAAGACTGGTCTCCAAAATATATAAAAAATTCAAGAAATTAGACATCAAAATTCTGAATAGCCTAATTAAAAATGGGGTACAGAACCAAACAGAGAATTCTCAACAGAAGATTCTCAAATGGCCAAAAGACACTTAAGGAATATAAGGATATAAACTCGGGAAAAGTCTGTAGAATTTTTTCTTTGTTCAGCATTGATTTATTGCACACCTACTGTGTGCTGGTACCAGCCTAGAATGGTTCTTGCCTTCCTGGTCCTGTCAGTCAGATGAGGGACAGTGACCAAAATAATAATACCAAATCATACATTAAACTTTGCTGTTGGAGAGATGGCACAGTCAGTGAGTGCTTGTACCACAAGCATGGGGACCTCAACTCAGTCCCTGTAACTCATGAGATAAAGTAGGACATTCTGGAATGTTCTTGTAATTTCACTATTGGGGAGGAAGTCAGGTGGATCCCTGGGCCTTGCTGGCTAGCTAGCCTAGCTAAGTCAGTAAATTCCACGACACTGAGAGACACTAGAAAGAAAGAAAAAAGAAAGAAAGAAAGAAAGAAAGAAAGAAAGGAAGGAAGGAAGGAAGGAAGGAAGGAAGGAAGAAGAAAGGAAGGAAGGAAGGAAGGAAGGAAGGAAGGAAGGAAGGAAGGAAGGAAGGAAGGAAGGAAAGAAAGGCCCTTCACATCCCCCCAAACCAGGTAGACAGCATCTTGTACATCAAGTAGACAAGTGTTCTTGTCTTAGTCATCCTTAGTCATCAGGGAAATACAAATCAAAATGATTATGAGATACCATCTTACACCTGTCAGAATGGCTAAGATCAAAAACACCAGTGATAGCGTGATGTAGGTGGGCCTTCTATGTGTTATTCTCATTGGTTAATAAAGAGACTGCCTTGGCCCTTTGATAGGACAGAAAATAAGGTAGGCGAAGTAAACAGAACACAATGCTGGGAAGAAGGGAAATGAGGCAGACACCATGGAGCCAGCCACCAGGTCAGACATGCTGAATCTTTCCCGGTAACCCACACCTCGTGGTGCTATACAGATTATTAGAAATGGGTTAATCAAGATGTGAGAGTTAGCCAGTAACTAACTCTCTAGAGATAATGGGCCAGGCAGTATTTAAATGAATACAACTTATGTGTTATTATTTCTGGGGCTAAGCAAGCCGTGCGGGAGCTGGGCAGGATGCAAAGTAGGCCTGCCCGCAACTCCTCACTACAATAGCGTATGCTGGAGAGGGTGTGGATGGAGTAAGGGGAACACTCATCCATTGCTGGTGAGAATACAAACCTGCACAACCACTGTGGAAATCAGTATGGTGGTTTTTCAGAAAATTCAGAATCA